TCCATTCCGGAAGAACGAAGGAAAAAGGCGTGAGAGAAATTTTTCACTACTCATGACACTCTGGGCAATATTAAGCCTGATTGAAAGGATAATTGAACTAAAAGTAGTCTTAGTGTTGAAGTAGCCAAATTAATTTATAACAACGGCTGATATAACAGCCCCAATGGTTTAATCAATAATGATAAAGTAATTGCCAATTACACCACTAAGGTATTAGTAATGGGTCAAGAGTATGAACAATCGACTACTCATATCGAAACTTTAAAACATTTAGCCGAAGAAGTTGACAAAGTTCATGAATTTATCGTTAAAAGAATTGAAACTGAAACTAATTTAGATAAATTTCCTTCTGAGGAAGAAATAAAATCGTCCTATCAAGAAAAAAAAGTCCCAGATACTCGTAGTTGAGCAGAAGTTGGCAAATTAAGAGATAATCGCATTAAGTCCTTATTCAAACAATACTTCCAAGGTCAAAATCCTACTAAATTATCCGACTCAGAAATAGAATTATGAAGGGTGGGCCACACTGGACTACCTAATACGGGAAAAGACCAGCGAATTGCTTACGATAATGGGTGGGCCACTCCTTCTGAAATCAAAGACAGCAAAATTGCTTACCAAAACATCGAAAATATTGAAGTCTTAAAAATCAAAAAACAAGACATCGATCAAGAAATAGCCAAGGTAGACAATCTAGTTAAACAAATAAACTCTTACAAATATTTACGAGATTTAGACGCCAATCAGTCTCAAATAGATAAACAATTTGCTGAACTAAAAACTGACTTCCTACCGCCTAACAAAAGCCAAGAAATCAAACAAGCCGAAGAAAAACAAAGACAAAATCTCTACTACTATTTAACCGACCCAAAAGACGGAGGCCTGGAAGAAGCCACCCTTAAAAAACTCTCCTCCAACTTACAAAACACTTGAAATGTCCCTAATTACGAGCCAATGACAGTAGCTCGTTTAAATGCTTTTATTGCCGCCGACAAAGATGTCCAAGCCCTCGGCCTTTTCCAAAATCCGAAAAAATGAGAGGATTTAAATGTTCCTAACGCTGAATTATACGGAACTAATGAAAAAGGTCAACCCCACAGTTGATTAAGTAAACAAGGCGGCTATGAACTTCCCAAAGAAAAAACTGCCGCGGAAGATAAACTCCACATGTCCCAAAAAGGAGCCTATTTATTAGACTTCTTTTACAAAAAAAGCAAAGATGCCAAAGGTTATCCCTTTAATCCGGACAAGTTAACCGACCCTAACATCCATTTTTGTCAAATCGGCAAAAAGGTAGTCAAAAGATTTATCAAAGGCGGCTTAATGAGTAAAGATAAATGGGTCGAAGAAGAAACCGAAGTAATTGGGGGAGATAAAGGAAATGCCGGACATTTAGCCATTGGCACTGGTATTGGTAAAACCACCAAACTCATCAATTGTTTAGTAAAAGGGGGAGAACGACACATTATTCTCGTTTGTCCGACTACAGGATTAGTCGATAGTGCCTTAAAACATCATTCCAGTTGACTGCAAGATTGAGGTTGTGTTTATCATGGCGGAGCCAAAGGGGAAGTAGAAATGGCTTACTGCTTACGAGGAAACCCAACCCAACGAGCCACCGAAGAGGAAATAAAGGAGGGAAAACATGACCCCGAAATGAAATCCCTTTATAAATCCCACGGCTCTTATCCAGTAGCCAAAAACGATTTAGCCTACTGACATAATGCTAATACTGGAAAATTGGAAGGCCTAGAAGAAGGTAAAAAAGGTCTATCCATTATGTATTTTGGTCACTTATTAGGCTTTGCCGCTCGTAATCTTTTCACTGAAACTGGTGGAATTAACAGTTGAGTTGCCGAAGAGTTAAAGAAAGAAGTAAAAGAAAAATTAATCCCTCAAAAAGAAACCATCGTCGTTTTCGATGAAGCCCACTTCAATGATGCCGGTTATCAATCTCTCCAATTTGAAATGATAAAAGCCGGTTATAACTGTTTAAGAATGAGTGCGACTTTCCCGGGTGCGGAATTCTCCACCACTTCTTCTTATCCCATGAAAAGAATTCATTGTGATGGCCCTATTGATCCGAACATGCCGGGCGGATTAATGATTTACCAAAATGCTGAACAAGTGGAAAAATTAGAAAATTTGCGGGGAGTTCCAGTTGGTAGTATTAAATGAAAGGATGAAGAAACTGGTTTACCTATTCCCATTGAAGTCAACTCGGAAGAAAGAATTCAAACGGGAAATACTTGAATTTTTGGGAAAAACCTAGAACTAAGTGATGAACAAATCCGAACTTTGGGCAATAATGTTTCTTACATGGTCTATACTCCCGAATTTGATGAGAATTGTGAGGATATTTCGCATGGTCGGCCAAAGGGTTCCGCCGATAATGTAGACGATAGCAAAGCCATGGGTTATACTCCCAGAATAGACACGGTGATTTGTTTAGGAGCCATTGAAACCACTAACTTAGGAAAATACTTTACTTATTCTGATCCTACGCTCGGATTTATCGACATTTCTAATTTAGTGCAGGAAATGGGACGGGTTTCTCGAACCAGTTATGGTTTAGCCATTACCCTAACCAAAGAATGCGGAGAAGTTGATTTAAGTGATAATGTTAGTGCGGCCATGGTCCGAACTACTTTTAACGGCGATATCAAGCAAATCAATGATAAAGAATATAAGCAGATTTACGATATAGATATCTTGCGGGGGGCCTTGGCTTATCCCGACCCCAAAACTTTCGGTAAAGCCCCAGAAGAAATCTTAATGGGCTTAAAAATTACCAAAGACCAACAATCTAAAAAAGAAAAATTAACTCAACTAGTTTGACGGCAGGATAACGAAGAAGATAAAAAAGAAGCCATGGCTAAACCTTGATATGCCTTCATGGCCAAAGACATTAACCCCAGTGAAAAGTTGTGAAATCGCTACTTAGGAAAATCCGACAAAATTACCATGGGCGAAGAAACCGCCAAGAATTTATTAAAAGAAATGATTTCTAATTTTATCACCCAAAACAAAAAATATCCTCAAGGGCTAGACTTAGAAAATCAAGCCAAATTTATCGGCTCGGTGTTTGGCACTAAACTAGAACAAGGAAAAAAAGAAGAAGTGATTAAGGAAACCCGCACTGTTTTAAATGGTTTAGTAGAAGCCAAAGTAAATGAATTAGCCGCCAAAGATTACGACGAAACCAACAAACGCTCCAAAAACCCCAACACCATTAAAAAATTAGCGGGATTATATAATTTAACCAATGCAAAAATTGATTATGAAAAAAGAAAGAATAGTGAAGGTAAATTGGTGTGAACTTTATTAATGAATGCTTAAAAATATGAATCAACAATTAACTCAAAAAGAAATAAGCTGGAGAATAGCCAGAGCTCAAGCCCATTTAGCCACAATTGCCAACTCTCAAACTTTTAGGAGAGAAATTGAAGCTACCGAAAAATTAGCCCAAAAAGAAGGGATTGAGGCTTATTGAAAATTACAGGATAAATTAGCACGAGAACTATCTAACCATCTCATAAATTACAAAGGCAGTAGCGAAGCCACTTTTTATGTTTTAAAATTGGCGAATATCTTAAACGGCATTGAAACCCCGGAAGAGAAATGATACCGAATTAGAGAAAATATTAAGGAATTTTTACAAGGGGATGCGGATATTACTAAGTCAGAAACTTTAAAAAAGTTAAGCGAGGAAGCCATCACTGAAGACACCATGGATGGCTATTATAATTTACTAAAATCTTTTAGAAAAAATTATGATGAATTGGTGAAATTAAAAGGAGGTGAAGAAAACACTAATCTTTTTTTAGAGAAAATGACGGGAGTAGTTCACGACAAAAAGCAATAATTATGGACATCGGATGCACATTAGGAATGAC